TTGCCTCAGGCGTCATCCTGATCTGCGGGACAGGAAGAGGAGGGGGTCAAGTCTCGCTGCAGCCGGACCCCCCCCCAAAATGCCTCTGTTAGCCGACTCAGCATCCCGTGAAGCTCGCACCACCAATTGCTCCCACGGCTCCTAGCCTGAGCCTCGCCAGCGCTCCCGCTTGGCCAGACGCCACCAGTTTCCTAAACGCCAGGGCCCCCGACCCAAGATAGTGTTGGACCCTTGCCTCAGGCGTCATCCTGATCTGCGGGACAGGAAGAGGAGGGGGTCAAGTCTCGCTGCAGCCGGACCACCCCCCAAAATGCCTCTGTTATGCCTCCAAGCACCACGTTCAGTTCCGGGTGCCGATGGCAGTGTGTTTGTGACCAAAAATACTGTTGAGAACATGGGGCCCGTTCTAATCGTGTCCACACAACCAACTGCTGTCATAGCGTGAAAAATAAAACAAACAGTTTTAAAAAGAGAGTAAATTTCCTCTTCCACTCATTGCGAGCGTCGGGTCCCCCCTAGGTGGCCCACCGCTCGAACCAATCCAGCCCCTTGCCACGCGGGCCGAGGCCTGGCAGGCCATCCCCGGAGTGTCAAGCTGGGTCATGGGGATAATAAAACAAGGTTACACACTCCAATTCGCTCGAAGACCCCCTCGCTTCAGCGGCGTGGTCTCCACCTCGTTTCCGAGCGAGGATGCACATGTCCTACGATCCGAGGTGATGAATTTGCTGGCAAAAGGAGCCGTAGAAACGGTTCCCCCAGCCAAGAGTAGTGGCTTATCAATACACGGTCCTTCCCTTTGGACTGTCCCTAGCTCCTCGCACTTTTACCAAGTGCATGGATGCGGCTCTTTCCACACTACGGGAATCCGCATTCTGAATTACCTCGACTACTGGCTCATTCTGGCCCAGTCGGAGGATGAGCTACTATCTCACAGATCCCTCCTCCTCAGCCACTTAGAATGCCTGGGACTCAGGGTCAATTTTGCCAAGAGCGTGCTGTTCCCCAGCCAACGGATATCGTTCCTGGGAACAGTTTTAGACTCAGCCCAAATGAGGGCGATAGCTGCGCCAGAACGTGCGCTGGCTATTCAGCAGCTCGCGGCCTCATTCAGAGTTGGAGCCTCTCGCCCTCTCAAGGTGTTTCAGAGGATGCTGGGCCTTCATGGCCTCTGTCATGACTACAGTTCGGTCTGCTCCGCATGCGGCCCCTTCAGTACTGGCTGAGCTCACGAGTCTTGGACGCCTTCGCAGCCTTCGCGCCTGTGTAACAGCCCTGGCCCCTTGGAAAGATCCTCGTTGGATGGAACGGGGCGTGCCCCTGGGAATTGTCTGCAGAAGGAAGGTGGTCTTGACAGACGCCTCCAACACGGATTGGGGAGCGCTGTGCGATGGCAAGCCAGCTTTCGGCCACTGGTCGAAAGAGGAAGGCCGGCTTGACATCAACTGCCTGGAAATGCGGGCAGTGTGTCTGGGCCTTCGAACCTTTCTGCCAGACCTAAGGGGATACCACGTCTTAGTCCACTCGGACAGCAAGACAGTAGTGTCCTATATAAATCGTCAGGGCGGTCTCTCCTCAAAGCGCCTCTTCGCACTAGTGGAGCGTCTCTTGGAATGGGCTCAGCTCAACTTGCGCTCGCTGAGAGCAGCTCCGGGCAGGCTGAACCAAGGAGCAGACATGCTGTCTCGGAGCAACGTCCCCTCGGAGGAGTGGATGCTCCTCCCTCAAACGGTTCAGAAAATCTGGGAGATCTTCGGCAGGGCAGAGGTCGACCTCTTCGCCTCAGAAGACAACTCTCATTGCCCAACTTACTTTTCAAAGGACAGGGACTTTTCCCACGACTGTCCCAACCTCCTCCTTTACGCTTTTCCCCCGATCGCTCTGATTCCACAGGTGATCAGGCGAGTCAGCGAACAGAGACGCAAGGTTCTGTTGGTGGCCCCACTCTGGAGGAACCAGCACTGGTTTGCAGAGCTGTGCCGGCTGCTCTCGGCAGCCCTGTCGCCCATTCCCCTGAGACAGGACCTCCTCTCTCAGGCGAACGGAATGATATGGGACCCCCAGCCCGAGCTGTGGGCTCTGCACCTTTGGCCTCTCGATGGGATAATGAACGAGTACTGTGTACTTTGCCATGCTATGTAGCTGCACGACTCAGTCGTCGCTTCAGTCGAAGTAACCTGAGGATCCTATGGCGATGTGCCGCTTATATAGCCAGATGACCCTGCCCATTCTGGCAGGCTTTACCGCCATAGGCTCGTGCAGCTCCACTGCCGAGCCACTGGTTCGTTTTTTATTCACTGCACGAACCAATGGCCGTGCAGTTACACTGCGTTATTGAAAGGCTTCAGTCATCTGAAGCCCCCCAAGCATCTTAAACAGACGCAGTACTCGTTATGTATCTCAGGGAACCGAGGTTACGTTAGTAACCGAGTACGTTATATAATCAGCTTACTTTAAGTAACTAGTAAAATAACGCATTACTTTTTATTTTAAAAGAAAATAGCTGAGTACGTTTTCAAATAAGTGACTGTTTTCCATTTATTGACTGATAGCTCCCCTGTCTCGATGTTGAGAGAAATCAGGAGCAAGTGCAAGAGGCGTTGTGTGCACTGTGTAAACATGATCGTTACTGTAGTTCTAGACCAGGGGTCTCCAAACTCGGTCCTGGAGGGCCGGTGTCCTGCAGAGATTAGCTCCAACTTGCCAGTCCTTGATTAGCTGGTTCAGGTGTGTTTAATTAGGGTTGGAGCTAAACTCTTCAGGACACCGGCCCTGTTTGGAGACCCCCGTTCTAGACTAAATGAACATGCGTTTACTCATCTTACTTGCACAAAAACAGATTTAGTATTCCTTCAATTGAATAAAAACAGTGAAAAGCAAACTCAGAATATTATGCAAACCTGCAAAAATTGATTGACTTTCAATGATCCAATTCAGCCATACCAATAAGCAAAATTGACTAACATTTGTTTCTTTTTTTTTCTTTCTTTTTTATTTTTGTGGTTTCGTGGTTGAGAAGCAAGTGTTTTACTTCTGTGTCCTATTCTTCATGCAATCTGCATGTTCTGTGTGTCTCTGACAGCACAGTTGAAAGGTTTGTTTGAGCTTTTAAAATTAGCATTTCCTTCAGCCCGAGGCTTATTTATTTCACTTTTGGTGTGAAAGGCCTTTTACATTTGCCAAAAATAGTACTCTTTATATTAAAAACAAACACGCAAGCACAGGCTAGATAAGAAAAAGTAACGCAAAAACAATATAATCGCTGGTTATTCACTCCCCCCACCAACAACTCCTGCCAGACCTGAGACTCAAACCCGCAACCTTCGGGTTACAAGTACGACTCTCTACCCATTAGGCCACGACTACCCCGATGAATAAAACACAAGGTATGAGAAGGCAGATACAAAAGAATGAAAATGAACATCAAAATAAAAGTCTCTGGAACAGACACACAGGAATTACATAACAGCCACACTCTCTGTCCCTGGGGTCCTCAACTCTGGCCCTCGAGAAAATAATACATACATAAAATTGTTGTATTTGACATTTCTGTCACTTCTGAAATGATGACTACGCCCCCGGTGTGACAAAATGTTAGCCTATACATAATACTTTTAAAGCTCTTTTTTAAAAATCTTGGCTTATATACATTTCTACATATGCCATGTCATGCCATAGCATCATTAAACTAGCATCTAACAATGGACAAGGTGTTTTTTTCTCTAACTCTAACCATAAAGGCTGCGGTGTAATTTGCCCCGACTAGCATTTAAAGAATTTAGGGGAAGCATTTGAATAATCCTGTGAATGTACTTAAAGAATGCAGAATCGAATCGTTAATCGAATCAAATCGTTCTGAATTTGCAAAAATCATTCTTGAATCAAATCGAAAACCTATGAATCGTGAATCGAATCGAGTCGTCTACCAAATGATTCATAGCCCTAACTAGTAGTGAATTGAAAGCCAGCATGGTAGCCCATTAAGTAAGATCAGGATAGCAATGCAAAGGTGTAGGTTTGATTTGAAAGTTGGTGCGGACAGAAACTATTGTATTATTTCTGTTGGCCTTTTCTGTTTAGCAATACCACACTAGCAAAAGTAGTTTTTTTTTGGAATATCTGCACGATTAGAAATGAGATACTGATTTTATACTACAGCTTAGTAAACAATAAGTTAATATTGTGTTCCATTTTTGTCAGTACTGTTTTTGCTCTATTTCACCAACAAAAATAGTTTAAAAGAAAGCCACAGCAGAACGTTTAAAAACGAATCAAGTGAGCCAATGATTCAGTTACCCATTTATAAATATTTAACTTTCTTAGTTTCTCTTTGTTGAATGAATGACACACTCATTAAGACAGTGACTTTCCACCACCTACTGGCAGTTTTAGTTTCATATTTAAAGTATTTTATTTTTAAAAAATTTCAATATTCATTTATTTTTAAAAACCCATTAATGTCCATTTAAAACCCAATAAACCTTATAGCATTTTTCTTCATTTTTTAAAGCAGTTCATCCATGCCACCTCTGAACAGTCTGTAAATAACGGTTTAATTTAACAGCATGTGTTTACGTGACCTTATCATGAGTTCTGCATATCATTAAATTGCTGCACGAGTCTATTACAACATTAAGACCACAAAAAAGTTTATGATGAAGAATTCAAACGAGACATTCATGTGTAATCAAATATTACTGGGAAGCAAATTTTATTTTCCAAGAGAAAATTAGTTAAAACTTAACATACTAAAAAGGACAAATACAGGACAAATACAGTCAATACAAAAATGGTGATAAAACCTTTACCAATCATCAAAAACAATGAGTTAAACTGCAGGTCTTAGTCATTACATAACCTCTATTGTGAAGTTTTACATTATAAAGCTTTAAAGCCAATCATGCGGAGTTAAAAATGTTAGAAAAGTCAGACTAATGTAGTTTCATTAAATTCATCAAAATTACATGATTGCCAAAAAGCACTAAACAAAAACACACGTTTTACACTAAGCAAGTGCTAAGGAAAAAAAAAAAAGATTATATTCAAATCTAGCAAGGGACTGTAATGTGTAAATACTGAGAACATAAAAAGTCAAGCTGATCTTTGAAAACTACAGCACAAAACAGACAAATGTTTCTAGGTATCTGAATAATGTCTCATTCATTGGGATTGGGGTTGGCATCAGGATACTGGGAGAGGTCAAAGGTCAGGACTTTACTGATGACGCAGTCTCCTTGCTGTTGAGGAAAGGCAGACAATGAGTGACATACATATAAAGTCAAGTCACTTTTATTTGTACAGCGCTTTTCAACAATGCACAGTTTCAAAGCAGCATGTATGTATGTGTGAGATAAGTGATATACTATATACAGTATATATATATAGTATCACTTCATGCGAGTATGTTAGTGGGTAAATTTGAATTTATATGTAATAGTTATCAACTGAAGTTGGCCATTATTTTTTTTGTCAATTTGAGTATTATGAAATCTGTAATGGTTGTAGTTTCAACTACAACATTTAGTGTAGTGACAAATATATTTTATCCAGAGTTACTGTTAGGTGATGTGCATCACTGCAATGATTAAAGGGGTCATATGATGCGATTTCAATTTTTCCTTTCT